GACCACTTTTTATAGTGTATCTACGTGGTTAAAAGTCCAGGCGGTAGCTTAACCCTCCTCTGCGGGCAGCACAGTTGTGGTCAGTTATCCCAGCCCGGGGACGGCTCGCGGTTTGCAGCAGCCCCGTTGTGCACCTGAGCCCGCAGTTAAACTTGTTTATTGGCTTTTGGACCCCAGTGAAGGGGTTTGTTTCTTCGTCAGAACAGCAAATGAAAGAGCTGGGAGTTTCTGGCTTTGAACTTGTGGGTTTTTTCTATTACTGTGGTTCAAAGAATAGCAAAATAATTTATGTAATGATATGTGTTTGTGATTTTTCTAGTGGCATCAAATAGGCAGCAGCAGCATCAATTCTGTAGCATCAAAAATCATTTCTCAGTTAAATTTGCTCTCCTCTGCTGGCACGTGCCAAGGGAAGATTCATCTCTGCAGGAGCAGAACGGTGGCGTTAAGGCTACACACGTTCTGTACGCTTTTAAATGCCATAATTTTTAGCTTTGTCATTTTATGCTCTGTTTAATCTGTCTTATTGGTCTATGGTTTTTGAGTTATTCAACTTAAAAGCTATTTTGTTTCAAAAGAAATAGTAACAAGATACTATTTTGAACCTTTCTTCAGCTCTTAGTCCTAGTTTGAAACAGTAGTATAAGCTGACTTTACATAACTGGAGTGAACAGCAAACTGTTTGCAGTGCAGTGCTGCTGTGCGATTCCCGTGTGTACTTTAACAGTAGTGATTTAATTACATTTCACTCAGCAGGTGGTTCATAAGTCCTAGGTCTAAAAGAGTAAAAAAGATAGATTGGTCTTTAATTATCCCAGTTGGAGCTCAGCTTTAGTGCCCAGCCACGTCCCTGCTAAGGCTGCTGTTCTAAATACTTGCCGCATTTTAACCTTGTTACTTAAAGCCTGCAGGAAGAAATAGGGCAACGTTTTAAAAACAGTCTGTAGGGTTCTTTTAGGGAAGAGAGGAAGCCTCGCCTGTTTATAGTTTTTTTTTTCCTGTTATTATTTATGAGGGGAAAAAAAGGCAGGTGTACATTTTGCATGACATGTACGTTAGAAATGTCATGTGTTTTTTT